CCTAGGTAAAAACATATAATTAAAGATATTAAATAGCCTAGATACAACATGTGCTTGAGCTCGTCTCAAGTACTTCTTGGTTCACAGTCACGCGCGAACCGCTGAAAAGTCAAGATGCCGCAAAGCTAAAATAAATTAATAACTTAAATATTTGTGCTATTTGTGCTATTTGTGAACTTATGTGAACTATTTGTGCACTTTCTAAAATCGTCGAAGGCATTATTTTATCTTTTAAAACAAGTAAAAAATATCTGCAATATTATTTGACAAATTGCGAGCGAATTGTGCGCATGCAGCTAATTTAAAAGGCTCATTTTTGAGACGCGTATCCGTGTGGTCGGGGTCTCTTTTTGATATCTTCCCATTTTGACTTAATTTAAGATGAATTGTTATAATTTTCTGTACATAAGTACAGAAAATTATTATATATACTTACGTACATAAGTACAGAAAATTATGTTATATTTTTGTATAAACAAAAATATAATGTATTTAAATATAAATAGTACAGCTTGGCAAAAAAATGTAGAAAAAATAGAGGCGCTTGTGAGCCATTTATATGACATCCCTATATAGTAGGATTTTTTTGTTTTGATACTTTATATCAAAACTAGCTTTTGCCCGCGACTTCGTCCGCGTGGCGTGTTATAAAAGAGAGATTTTTTTATACAACATTTTTTTCCCGCTAACTTCCATTTTTCAAAATACAGTCATAACTAAACTTTAAATTTACTAAGGTATGCATGCATGCTAGATTGAAAACATCTATCTTACGCGGTTTAGAATTTTTCATACAAACGTTTTTTCCCGCTAACTCCCGTTCCCGTGGGAATTTTGCAATATTCTGTTGCAACTAAGCTTTAAGTTTACTAAGGTACCTGCATGCCAAATTTCAAGCGTCTAACTTAAGCGGTTTAAATTTTCCACACAAAATGATTTTCCCACTAATTCCCGTACCTAAGCTACGTCCCTTCCAAATTTCAAGCGCCTACGTTTAGCAGTGTAGGCTGTGCGTTAATATGTCAATCAGTCAGTCACTTTCTCCTTTTATATATTTAGATGTAGAAATGTATAGATGGAGTGTATTTAGCAAGAGAAAGTGAACTATATCTGTTCTTTTTACTACTACCAAAACTGTCATAAGACGGAAAGAGAAAACAACAGCTTGTCTGTCTGGTCGTAACACGTTCATTGTCTCCACTTTGACTATACAATTATGCTTATAGTTATATAGTAAACAAGCATTTTTCTCAGTTAATATACTCCACTTTACTTTTACAACCGGGTACAGGTCATGCCTTTATTATTAATTAACACAAATAACAAAACTTTATACCATAAGACTCTAAAATAATACGTAAATTATTAAATTGTTTCTTGGGTACTCATAATGGAATAAAGGAATAGGTGTGCAAAGCGCGACCAATGAGTTTAGTTGTTCAATTTAATACACTCCATCTACAGGTACATTCTATATCTTTGCTTTATATTATATATTTTGATAAATATGTTGTATCATAATAATATAAAGTAATTGTTTGTCTTATAATTCAAACAAAAAAGAATTTACTCGAATTCAAATGACATGATTACTAATTACGTGAAAAACACTATAAAATTTAAAAAACTGTATTTTAACACTGAATGAATTATTATTTTAGTAAAATATTACCACAAATGACTGACCATTAAATACAAAATGTGAGTAGGGTGTCATGTAATTTTACATATATAACATTTAGATAAAACAGGGAAAACGAAAATTTTGTTTGTTTATTTATAACTTTAATTATCATATAACAATTTTCATTGGTCTTCAAAACTATCTTCTAAATATTCTATATCAGAAAAATCAATTTCCATACTTTCTTGACTAGTGCCGGGAAGAATATCATCTAGATCATCTAATTCAGAGGAACTGGTGCTTCCGTCTACAAGATTAATGACCAAAGATTCAATATTCTCATACAGAGTATGCTCTCCCTCGTAATATTCATCTTCAATTTTTTGTACATGCTGACATGAGTCTTTCCAATTTTGCTCTGTTATTTCCTGAAAGGCACGCTCAGCTACATCCTGTAATGTAAAATTATTTAAGTTATTATCTAAATGAGAAGAAAACTGTAAATTTTAAAACTGCTCTTAGAATAAACCATTTCATACCTTTATATCGATATTTCCTACATTATGAGCTGCAATTTTTTGCTTTGCTATGCCCCATATAAGCTCAATGGGATTTAAGTCACAATGATAAGGTGGAAGCCTTACCACTGTGTGCCCATTTTCACCTAATAGCTCGTCTATTTCATATATATGTTCTGCCTTGTAGCGCTTAACAAGCATCAATAATTGAGGTTTTATTAAATGCATATCAAACGAAATATTATTTATTGTTAACCACTCTCTTATTTCTGATATTTTATTGGCGGCGGTGGGTGCTTTATTTAATACTACAGAATGGTAGGGAGCATTATCCATTACCACAATTGATGCAGGTGGCGAATTTGGTATTAGTTTTTCTTTTACCCATTTGCTAAAATTATTTTTATTCATTTCAGAATGGTAATCACTGTTTTTATTAGTTCCACTGAAAATTAATAACGCATTAGGAATAAATCCTTTTTCACTCCCAGCATGAATTATAATGTAGCGTTTCCCTTTAGACACATTGTGTTTAACACCACACACATCAAATGCCTGCCAGCATTTTTTTAATTTTATGATTGATGAACATAACTTTCATCTAAATAAATAACATCTTTTCTGAGTTCCTCAGGCAAGCTTCTATTGTCAATATTTTTTTTTAAATAGTCCCTCCGCTTTGCTGCAATATACGGTTTTTCCATTAAAGCAGTTCTCTCAGACTGGCATTTTTTGTACTTAGAACCCAGTGATTTGAGAACTTTTCTTAAATGTTCACGACTACCATTAAAATTTAATTCTTCCCTAACCACTGGAAGTAAGTTTCGCAATATTGGGACCTGAAAATAAAGTAAGTACGTAGTTATAGAAATGTTATAAAAAAGTTAAATGTATTTTAATATAAAGTTAATTATTATATCTTCATTAAGTTTTGATTTTAAACTAAATAACATTACAGTACCTGTTTTCTTACTGAGTAGAAGAACTGAACTTTTTGTCTAACTGATGGCACATAAATCAAAGTTATCTAATTCCTTTTTGGGTCGACCTTGTTTACGTTTTCCAGGTGTGGAGAATACACCCTTATTTAGTTCTCCTTCACGAACAATCCTTCTTACAGTACTTATAAATTTACCTGAAAATTATATAAAATTACCTCATAGATGAATAAGACCGAATTGTCATATAAACTTTCCTTCCTTTTAAATTTGTGTTTTAAGATATATACATAAGTTATGAATAATTTGATACACACAAATATCAAAGAAGGAAAGTCAATCTCTAAACTAAGTCTGTCACACAAACGTAAACATAACCTAAAGACTTGATAATAAAATTGGAAAATACGAAATAATAAATCGTAGAAGAAATGAAAACGACTCTATATTCATAGAAAATTATACGATTGACTGAAAGACATTAAAATACACTCCTACTAACCAGTCATATCAGCAGTTCTTTGGTAAACATTGACGAGATCCGACAAAATTGTTCTTGCTTGTTGTTCTTCAAGACATCGAAGGTAAACTTTATAAATAATTTCTCTTGCGGAACTGCGAATCGGCTTATTCATATTGTATCACTAATGAGTTGAAATATACGTTCTCACTGGTAACAATTTAGCAAAAATCAAAACACTAACGCAGAATCCAATAAATATTAACAAATGTCAAAGATGTGACAATGTTGCCAGGTAAAATAAAGAATTAGTTCCATTTCTACAATTTTTTGCCAAGCTGTACATCTTCGTAAAAATGGGTTTTACTAAATTTCTTTATTGTCATAAGTACCAGAAAATAATAATTAAGGGGCCTTTATCTTCGGGTCGGTGCGAGTGTTTTGTTTTCGATTCTGTACCGAATCTGAACAGATTCTTTCCGAGTGCATATAATTAAGTGAGAGCTTTCCCACTAAGTGGTTCCCGTACAGATCTTTACCGAGCGGATACTTAGCTTACTGTGCCGAGTGCTTCCGAATGCTACCGATTCATTCGACTCGCCTATGCTGTCACTCCTGCACACAAAACGAAATGAATCCGTACTGACCCGATGAGTAAGGCGCTTTAAGTTTTAAAAATTATTTTATGATAATGGTGTCGATTCTGGCAGGATTCTCTTAACTTAAAACTAAATTTAACATCAGTCTGTCCTTTTTACTCTGTAAAGAGAATGACAAGGATACACTGTTGTCAAATTTAAGTTTAGGTTTAGAGAATCATACCGAAATTGACACCAATATCATCATATTATTGTCTATCTATAAATTTGTCACGTGTTTTTTTGTGTTGCTTATATATTTGTAGTTACTGGTCGCATCATGTAATTAGAACGCACTAAAGTACTAGGCCTCTATACTAAATTGTTTATCGATACGAAATATCGACATTTTCTAAAATCAATCTTACCCTCCTCACTTCGCTGCCCTGAGTATATGATCTGACCTTGACGCGTCCAATCACAACGGGGCTGACCACCCTGCACGCCGCCGACTTTGGCGATTTTGATTCCAAACAAAATTTGTGTGATGCGGACTCTAATGGGGGTGCTCGAGGTAGTAATTTTTGGTCACCCATCCAATGACCGACCACTGCGAAAGTTGCTTAAGTTCAACGATCGCAGCCGAACGCTCTAATCACTTGCGCCATCGAGCTCCTCGATGGCGCAAGTGAAATTATAGGTAACATAAATTATAACTAATCATTGACTGGTACTTTCTGACATTATAAAAGTTATAGAACCTCAGATTCTTGTTTACATTTTGTCTCACGCCAAAATGAATAGACTATAGGGTTACCATTTAGGAATTTGAAAGTCCTGAAAAAAAGACTAAAAAGGCAATCGGGCAGAGGTTTACCTTATCAATGCATCGATTAATCAATATATGAAACACTCAATCACTGTCAGTCAAACGTTTAATTGTTAAGAACAATCGACAGTATGTGGGATAATTATTTAATTATAATAGCTAAACTTAAAAATAATTCCTTAGTTAAACTTGCATTTGGAGAAGTCCATTTCGGGATGCTGTTCCATGAACCTGGAAACAAAAAGGCAGAGCTTTAAGTTTTTCAGTTTATTTAAACTCAACATCCCAGGTAAGAGATAGGTAAATCAACGAGCATTATTTTTTGTTGATTATTAAAATCATACCTTAATTAATTAAATTGATACCTATGCTAATCTCTTACCAAGAAAAAAAGGATAATACTATACATAGGGTTTTTCTTGGTTTAGAACTGTTTGATCAGGTCTATTGTATGGAGACCATTTTAAATAAATATTTTAATCTGTTTTCAGTATTTTGTTGTCATAGGGGTCCATTTTTACCCTTTGGTTACGGAATCCAAAAAAAAAACTAGTCAAGTGCGAGGACTTGCACATAGGATTGCCATATAGTAATTTCAAAAGCCCTGTCGAACAAAATTCCGAAAGAAAATTGAGTTTTTTGTTGTTATAGCAGCAATACGGATGATGACGGGGAAAATTAAAAGAAATTCTATTTAGTCCGTCAGTTAGATTGTCATAAAAGAATGAACACTTATTTTTTCTTTAGTCAATCAACCAAAATATTAGGTTGGGGAAAAAGTTCATCATCATCATCATCAGCCTATTAATGTCCCCACTGCTGGGGCACAGGCCTTTCCTATGGATGGAATAGGGAGATTGGGCCATGACCCACCACGCGGACCCAGTGCGGATTGGCGGGTGCTAACGACTGCAGATTCAGCCGGAACCAACGGCTTAACGTGCCTTTCGAAGCACGGAGGAATTCGAGATCGAAGATTTTTGGTCACCCATCCAATGACCGACCACTGCGAAAGTCGCTTAACTTCAACGATCGCAGCCGAATGCACTAACCACCTGCGCCATCGAGCTCCTCAACCATTTTTAATAAGGTTTATTACAATTAACTAAAGTATGTATGTGCCATTTTGTTACCATCTTGATAACTTTTTGCCATCTTGCAGGTAGGTACGTGATCCCATTGCTATAGAAATTTTGGGGCTTTTGATCAAAAAACCGCGAAAAGTGGTTTTGGCAGTCCTCTTGTGATGTTAACCTGACACTGCTTAAAGAATTCTGAAGAGACCGAAGCAGATGTAAATATGTAGGTGTAAGGTCAGGACTATACGGCGGATGCATTAACACCTCCCAGTCAAACTCTTTTAATTTTTGCTGAGTGGCTAAATATGTGTGAGGCCGCTACATAGTTGGGCCGCTACATATGGGTTAATACCGGCCGCTTTCTCTAAACTTCTTGCTTTAATCTCATCAGTTGTTCGCAGGAGAGTTCAGAATCGATGGTCCTGCCTGGCGGTAATAGCTCATCATGAATGCCCTGCCAATCCCACCGTACAGAGTCAGCCAAAGTCTGTGAAGCCTGACCGGCCTTTGACCACGAGCTTTTTCGCACGTATTTGTCGTACGTGATCCACTTTTCATCACCAGTTATGAGCTTCTTGAAAACTGGTTCATTACGTCGTACTAAAGAATCACAAATGAGTACATTGTTTCATTAGGTTTCTTTTAGTGAGCTCGTTAGGCACCCAAATATCGAACTTTTTTGTATACCCAGGTTTTTTCAAAATGCGCCAAAACTGTTTTGTGGACAATTCTTAGTTCTTCAGCTACGTCATAATTACTGATATGCCGATCATGATCCACTTTCTCAAAAATGGCAACCATTTTATTCGTAACAGGGCAACCAAAGCGACATGCATCTTTGACATCAAAATTTCCGAATTGAAAACGCTTAAGCCAAAGCGCTATTCTCACAGAGACTGCATTAGGTCCATAAACATCACAATTTTTTTTCGCGGCATGCGTTGCCTTATTACCTTTTTTGTAGTGAAATAAAACATAGGTTTTTTTTCCTAAATGCTTCGCACGGCTTGTGCATTTAGCCAATGTCTAGGTTAAAATGTTTACAAGTACTATAGCACTCGTGGTGAAAGTAATAAATCAAGTCAAAGTAAGTGGCAGTCAAGTCAAACCCCTCTTTCCCTATGTTTCAGTAAAAGTGTGGGGATTTACTGGAACCTCTCCCCGTGGACTTCTTGAGGGAGCGTCGAAAGAAACTTTCCGCTATTTTGTTTCACTAGCCAACACTTGCGCATGTTCTCGAACACTTAGTGGTTAATAATCCACCATTATTAGACACTAACATCCGCCACAACACAATTTTTAACAAGAAAAACAAAACTGCTAAAGTGACGCTTCTCGATCCCGCCAAAAAGTCCAACATATAGAATTTCTTCATTAGATTCACTAATATTGACAGTAAGAAAAACAATTTAAAGTCACACATTTTCCTAATTTGAATTTCGAAATTTTCTTCTTTAAAATTGATTTTTTTTAATGATACTAAAAATTAGTCAGATAAAAATGGTTTTTATTACAAGTTCATACATACTACAATGCGGAAAGACTTTATCCCCAACCTATTATGACAAAGATTGGGCCATGACCCACCACGCGGGCCCAGTGCGGATTAGTGGGTGCTAACGACTGCAGATGCAGCCAGGACCAACGTCGTAATGTGCCTTTCGAAGCACTGAGGAGCTCGAAATAGTAAATTTTTGGTCATCCATCCAATGACCGACCACTGCGAAACTTGGTTAACTTTAACAATCGCAGCCGAACGCCTATCTCTCCTCAACTCGAATATACTATTCTGAATATATATATATATATATAATATATATAATACTAATATACCCTGAGAATTCCGATTATGAACCGGAAGAAAAAAGGACGAAATTAATTTAATTAGAAATATAGAATACAACGCAGTCTTGTAATCGAATTTTAGTTAATAGTTTTGTAAATAATTTCTGTACATAAATAAACTGAATTTTTTAAATTTTCAATCGTATATTCGAGTTGAGGAGAGAAAAATACATTAGTTTAAAAAAAAAATATTCTACGTCAATTTTTAAAAAAAATTTAAATCGTCCAAAAACGAACATTTTTAGTAACGATTTTTTTCTACTCGATCGATTCCTCAAAATTCTTTTTGAATCGAATCACCTGAATTTTTTTCCCCGCTGTGCGCCTTCTGGGAAAGACGGGACAGGCAAGTACTTTTTTTCGGAGATTGAGAATTGTTGCTAAAGTTTGCGACACAGGTCGATTTTTACATGACTCTCTTGGGAGTGGCGTTACCCACATGATAAACTACTTTAGAAATCAAAATGTTTATTATAACATGTTGAATTGTTGCAAACGTAAAACCAACATAATTGCAATTTACTGCTAAACTAACAATCTCACGTTATTTTTTCATAGAACTGATTTTGTAGAGGGCAAGCTAATGAACAACTTTGATTCAAAAAAAATTTCAAAATCCCCGTTTACAAGCAAAAAAACTCAAAAAAACCGGTTTTTCTTTGTTTAAACAATTTTCCTGGCTACAAAACACGGGTTCTAGCGGGGACAAATGGAGGGCATATTGGTGGGGGTCTATACTATCTAGGAAAAAATTGGCTAAGCGCTGGTGTCTTAGAATAGGTCTCATGTTTATTCCGACTGGACTATTGCGCCATCGAGCTCCCCCTCTCTTGTTCAATGCAATACATTTTCAAAAATAGCAATCAAAAGTACATAAATTTGGGTGCAGAACAGGACAAACCATTAGTAAATGTAAAAAACTGTTCAACGAATCTTTGCTGCTATTAATATTTTTCTTCGAAATTGAGGCGTAATTATAATTTTAATTCTGATAATAGCTAAAACGTGTTCAACTGGTCATCAGTGGCACGTGTAATGCTGCTACAAATGTAAAACCATTATTTTACCTTTGTAACATTTATCTGTGTTTGTGTGTAGGTAGTAATGTGGTAAATAAACACTTACTTTTTCAGCACATCTTGTTTCTTTTGTTCGTCGCTGGTGGGGAGACCCATTTCCTTTTGCCGTTGGTCGTACATCATCTTTTCTACTAAGCCCCGCGTTTCACCATCCAAATCAGACAGTTTTGACGGTTCTAGAAATACATTTTTTTTTAAAGTGAGTTGTTCATCCTTAAGCAATTTATTCATAAAGAAACATCACAAATGCATTTTTTTTGCATAATATAATAATGCATCTCTCATTAAGTTTATATGACAGAAATTGATGCTTACATAAGACCTTTACCCGAAATGTGTTTATTATAAATAACAGTAATGTCCTACATGATTTACTGACACGGTGTTTTTAAGAAAGAATCCTAATACCTTAACACATAAAGAACAAATCAGAATGGAGTAGAACTTATAAATATAACATTTGACATTATTAAACTCGAATGTTTACCTCGCATTTAGAATGACAAATAATTTTATCGACATAAAGAATTAAAATATTTTTTCTTAAGTAGATTGCTGAGCTTCGGTATTCCGTATGATGAACAGTATCTATACTATTATGCAACATTAGCATTCGAGGGTCACAAGCACAAACAGACAATGTATAAATTTACAAATTGTTACCTGGGTTGATTTTCCTCGTGGATATCTCTGGGTCGGTCAACACAAGCCTGCCCCACCAATTCATTTTGTTCACCTATAATGTTAGAATAACATAAAAATTACTTACCAACGGCAAATTGATCATTAACTTTAATAGGCATCTACAAGTACAGTTCGTTTCGTGTAATAACAAAGTTACGTTTAAAATAATTATTCGAAGCAATTTCAGAAAAGTGTTACAAGGTTTATTTATGACATTTGACAAAACAAAAACTCTCGTTTGTAATAGACAACTTACGTTTATTTGCATTGAGGAACCTACATCACGTATAGTTTCTGTACGCGGACAAGTTTGCGCATTCATATTTATGGATTTGGGACATGACATTTGTAAAGATGTACCCTTACAACACAACACAGAAAATATTTTTTTCTTAAGACGTTTAAACGTATTCCAAAGATTTATCTTAACATCAATAGTTAAAACAGGAATAGTTATGTTTGCGACAAAGAAGGTGATAAACTTCTAAAAATAGAAAATGATCATTTAACTATTATACACGATGAAATAGCAATTGTGATTGCATTAAAATTGGAATCTGTGGGAAACAGTAAAATGCGTTAATTTAGAGATTATGACGGTTTCAATGTCATGGAACGTAGACTAAGCCTGTTTTAAGTATGAATTCATTTAACAACATTAATATTGGCATTTATTGCGTCCTACAGTTTACAAATTGCTTCAGTAATATTGGTAATAAATGGGAAATCCTCTGGTTGTTGGAATTTAAGGTTCTTGTGACGGTTCCAATGACATTTATATTGTGTTCGTTCGTTTTGTTTTGTCACTATTATCTTAATATGCTCTAGACAAAGTTCTCGATTTACTTTGTAGGTTATGTTATGGTGATTTAAAACCTATCTAAATGAAAGTACAAAGGTACGGGCACGCGCCCTTTACTTCGAATTTGTAAAGTACGCATTGACTTCCCATACAAACTTCCACCCCCCTTGTCACTACCCAAAATGGTGATTTCTGGAATAAAAACTCTAATTTGTCCTTTCTCGGGACTCGAACTATATCTAACAAATTTCATTAAAATAAGTTCAGCTGTATAAGCGTAAAGACGTTATAGACAGACAGACAATTATACTTTTCTATTTCCAACACTCACAACAATTTGCCTAACCCTTAAGTAAGCACTGTAAGGCTTTTGTTTTGGGATACTAGGGTAACGGATAGAATACATATACTGTACACATTTATAAAAATATTTATATAGAAATACATATTAAACATCCATGACTGGAGTACAAATGATCGTATTCCACACACAAGAATCTGCGACCATCGGGATTCGAACCCGGGAGTCCCGGTACCTCTCGAGTCGGCGACACCATGAAACTCGGCGTACAAACCACTCGGCCACTGAAGTCGTCAAAATAAACATATATTATAATACTAGCTGTCCCAGCGAACTATGTAAAAATAGGTGTTGGTAGTAGAAGGGTGAAAATTAAGGGTCCACCCTTAACATTTAGGGGGATGAAAAATAGATGTTGTCCGATTCTCAGAATTCTGAATTTGCATATAAAAATTCACGAAAATCGGTCGAGCCCTTTCAGAGTAGTTTAATTACGCACACCGTGACACGAGAATTTTATATATTAGATTAGATAGATTAGGCACGGATGGATAGGTAAAACGAAATTCTAAGACGGGGTAAATTAAACGATATTCTATTTACTAGGACCCTAACGACAGTCCGTCAGTTAGATTTTAAAAACAATTATGGACACTACGTATTGTTTACTGTGTCAATCAACCAAAAAATAAAGCGCGTTAACATTTGAGAGTGGAGGTTCGCGATGTCACTTTTAGTAAAAATTATGCTAAGACGTGACGTCATGCAATTAAATGTATCTCTGTTATGTTTTGATCATGTGGAAAAAGAAAAATACGTGTCCAATAATCTAATATAAATAAATAAATAAATATAAAAAAGTAAGTCATCATCCTTATTGCAACGCTTTGATAAAAAAAATAACTTTCATCATTTTGTTTACCTTTTCCAGATTGACGAGCAAGTTGCGTCCGTCCTGTAACACCCATGTGGACTCCTCGACCTTGACATCGGCTTCCAGTTCGCCGTCAATGATGAGCGGCTGGCCTTTGATGCCGACCTTCAGGTGTTTCTTACTGATGACCACGTTTAGATCGCGCGGTCGTAGCACCTGCCTCAGCGGCACCCGGAGCTAAAGCAACGATAACAATCATCATCATTAATAACACATCATTCGCTTGTACCGAACTAGGATTTAGATGGCGATGACTTTTTTACTTGTATGTACATTGATTCATGTGCTAAACATTAGCAAATATAAATAAACCTCCTACTGCAGTAGGTACCATTTTAGTATTATGATACGCTTTCTTAATAACTTATGCAAGATGGAAATATTTATTTTATTAGATTTATTTCATTATATTGGCCACCAGTTGTTGGTACCAGCGTGGGTCCAGCCTTTATCTGCTTGTTTGAAGAATAAAAAAAATATCTCTCCAAAATATGCGATGAAAACTACTCCTAGATACATTACCTATAACCAGTTTTTAAAAGAGTTAATTAACTGATATGAATAGAGTGGATATCGACATTGGTTTTCGTATCATTTTTTCTTCGGTACCAACTTCGTGCTTAACATTCCCATTTCTAGACAATTCACTTTAAAACAATGCCACGAGCGGTGTTCGAATATTGGTACGTGATTATGGTCACGCAAAACACAATGAAATGTTTGGTACGTAGAATAAATAGACCACGATAGTTGAATATCCTGTACTTTTAACGCTGTTTGTCATATCATTATGCTCTTACGGATATAACTACTTTGAGGAAATAAAAAAATATTATATGGGTTAAAACGCGCACTTTAATAAAGGTCGCCCCGTGACTTCGACCGATGTAACGTAACCTGGCGAAACGTCGGGATAAAAAACCAGGTACAAAAACAGTTTATAAAAGTTCGTGTTCTAGCCCGTATAATAAGCCGTTCTATCCCGTTGGAAACTACATAAACAAGAAGAACTCGTAAATACCTTCTTGTATATGTCCTGTTTGTTAAACAATCTCCAAGAATGGGGAAGTGATCATTAATCAATGGATGCATATCAATTTATTAAAAAAAATCAGTATTACGAAATTATCGTATGGCATGTGGTAAGCCAAAACCTTACCACGATTTATTGATATTAATTCTGTTGCGCATATTTTAATTTATGTAATTTGGCATATATTATCACATAGTTTTGTTCATGTTCCATTTTGTTTATCTATGTCACTGGCAATCTATATAATTCAGGTATTGTATATAATATCTAGGCAACATATTGAATGCCTGGGGCGTCAAGGCAATGTATGAAATATTATCCGACTCCGAATCGAATTGTATAGAACTGCGGATTATACAGATTGCCGATAACATCTATACTAATGTCATTAAGAGGAAAGGTTTGTATTTTTGTATGTTTGTAACAAATAAACTAAAAAAGTACTGGATCGATCAAAAATTCTTTCACCATTAGAAAGTTATATATACACCGTGGATTTTCAGTTACTTGATAAACTTAAAAATCATGTACATAAAAGTTAGAACAGTTATAAACAGTAAAAATAGTATACTATGTACATAACATACCTTTTATCGAATTATTATCCATTTCAAGTTAGATCCTACAAGTACTTTTATTTGAAACAATTTTACCAATTGTTAATTAAACCAATTGTTTCTTAATTACAAAATTAGTGAGGTAACGTATGTCACTATTCTATACATTGCCTAGTTATTGTATAAATTGCCGGTAACATATGTATTCCTAATTGACATAGGCTATAAGTTTTTTTAAAGGATTAAAAATAAATATATATAATGTATGATGAGATGACGTAGATGATATATAAAATAATAGCCTCGGCTAAGACGAGCGACCTTTCGTTAATTGTATCAATTGCGTAGACGGATATCGTTGAGAATTGAGCGAGTTTTCTCGCAACTATACACTTTGAAAGGTTAAACGTACCGAACAATTCTACGAGATCAAAGCGGAACGTATTATTGCGTCACGATCTTGTAAAATAAATATCACATGTGACGTGGAAACCAGCAAACAAACGTTGATACTACTCCAGTACTTCTATAGGGTTTTCCAATATGTGGTGTTATTTTGATATTTAAAGAAAAATGCCATTTTTTTAATATAAATGACCAGATGTTTATTTCATTATAAAGAGGAAAATAACATCAGGCAAATGATCACCACAACCACGACAACAGGACCATATCCTTTTCATGAATATTTCCATAACCAAATCGCAAAGTGGCTGCCCTATGTCCACGATAGCCTCACGAATTCCATTTTTGAGGTTTTGAATCGACGCTGGGCTGTTGGCGTAGACCTTCTCTTTCACGTGGCCCCAAAGGAAGAAGTCGCAAGGTGTTAAATCACAAGATCTCGGTGGCCAATTGTGATCACCTCTTCGAGAAAAAACACGGTCCGCAAATTTTTCCTGTAAAAGATCAATATGGTTTCGTTGCTTGTGTGGCACGTAGCGCAGTCTTGTTGAAAGTAAAGGTTGTCCAGATCAATACCATCCAATTCCGGCCATAAACAAATATTAATCATCTCTCGATAGCGCAATCCATGCACCGTAACTGTTGCTCCAGCCTCATATTCCAAAAAATAAGGTCCAATAACACCGCCGGACTATAAACCGCACCAAACAGTCACACGTTAAGGATAGAGAGCTTTTCAATAACAACTCTTGGGTTTTCGAAGGTGGAAATGGGCCTCATCACTCAAGATGATTTAAGAATTCCGGATCATTTTCATGCATTTCAAGGACCCAATCAGCAAAGACACGACGTTGTTGATGATCGGCCAGCTTCAGTTCATGTGTTAACTGAACTTTATAAGCCTTAAAACCCAAATCTTTGTGCAAAATACGGTGTAAAGACGTTTGCGGAATGCCTAATTCCAAAGAACGACGAGAAATGAAAAAACCTGGGTTTTCTGCAACCTGAAACGCTACCGCTTAAGATTTTATTTTGTTATTTCTAGCCGCCTGAGGATTTTAAATGCCTCGCGCTCTTTTTTTTCTCTTGCATTGGTAATTACAATATTAAAAAAATGAGCGTGAGGTATTTGAAAAACCTTCGGCGATCAGAAATAACAAAATAAAATCGAAAGCTTTAACGTTTTCCAAAGCATTTCCGTTAGGCGAATGGCCCTCTGGGGTTTCGTGCACGGATTTTATTCTTCACATCATTCTTCACACATTGAAGCGTGTATCGTTCTATTTTATATGGATAGCGTAGTTTCTACTTGACAAAGGTCAAAAAATGACATCTTCAAGTGTCATCTACGGAAATAACGGGCTATTCAAAATAACACCTCTTATTGGAAAACCCTGTATAAAAGAGAATAGAAGGAATAGTTTAGAAAAATTACAGTAAAATCATGTTTTTTTTTATACAATAAGGCTATTGATGCGTGCATGCATCAGTGATTTTAATGTTTGATTGATTATTCTTACATTAGAATTCGTAACATTCTCTTTGTTAGACAAAATTACACACATAATATTTACAGACAAATTGGTATTTGTATTAGGATAATAGATCCGAATTGGAATTAGAAACAAAATTGTTATTATATCAATGTTGAAAAACGACATACCTACGTAACTTTTCCAATAAAGCTTTGGTTTTGGTATTAATTTTGATGTATTTTTGACCATGAAAATTTAGAGCTGGGCGTTTAGCTCGCAGTTTCTTGAATATAATAGTCATATTGAAAGGGTTTTTGCCTGTAACGAAGCCTAGAAATGTTGATATAAAGCTTGAGATGACTTTGACGCAGTCTTTTTTTTTTAAAGTTAAATACAGACGAGGATTCAACTATCGTTATAGGATACAAAGTATGAGTAAATCGATGAAAACTAAAAATATCAGTCATATGCCTGTCAGTCAATTTAACTCGAAATTAATATGCATAAGTAAGAATAGTTTACACGATTCAGTTACGATATTATTTCAACACATTACTTTGTCTGCTAATTACAATAAAGTAATTTTTTCTAATTTTATTATCGCACAAGTATTTTGCAATATAGATCAAAATAAAAACGATATTTATATCAATACGACATCATTATTCTAAAGGAATCTCGTACCAATAAAAACTTGATTAGGCAAAGAAGTTAAATTAATCTAATATTCAGGAAGTAAATTCTCATAATTTAATGTTTGATTAATTTATTAAAAAGAGATACAGGCTGTTCATAGGTAAACGACTTACTAAAAACATACAATCTTCTATTAGATAAAAACTCCTGGGATAAAAGATTTCATAAATAAACCATTTATTAAAAAAATAAATTAAATCATCTTCTATGAGGGAAACACTGCAGACATTAAAGGTGCAAGGCATAAGGTGCAATCTACCACCTGACATTATAATGACATGCACAGAATACGAAATGAATGGGTCTGAAATAACAATTATTGTGTTTCACAAGAGGACGGCCACTATAAGAGCGCGGACGACCACGAAGGCGTGATGACCTCGCATTCCTGACAAGGACGATCCGATCCGAGAATACCGTGTCTCACCAATCGGTCCGACTGATAGAATTTGTGACTCATTAAAATGACAGCTCCACGTATTAACGACGAACGGCATCATTATAATACATAAAATAAAATCATAAAAGTCAGCCACAGCACCGGTATTAGTAAAAGAACTGTTCTTTATAGTAACTTTGTGTAGGTATATCTTTTGCTTTGTACGAAACATTTTAATAGTACGCTGCAGTCACATTTATTTATTTATTATCTAAGGGATTAATGTACTCTCAAGGAAAATTAATCGATAATGATAAAAGATTATTTTCGATTATGTAACAAACATAATTCAGGGTCGCATAATGTCTTCATTCTGCTGAGTTATGTAAGCAAATTTTAATCATATTTAAAATCTCGTTATACATATTCAAAACACTATAATCATTTCCATCAATATTATCAGATATTTTTTTTTATCAATCATATAAGATGTTAAAGTGAATTTTAAACAGATTGCATAATAGAAATGTTATTATAGTTTGCGAAGGGAAAAATGGTTTATCATAATTGTTGTGAGTATTAATCACGTTTGTTTAGGTGACATTAGTTAATTCTGCGTAACAAATGAAATA